ATTATTATTATTTTGCCCACCATTTTTGGCCGTCTGGTGATGATGAAATGTGGTTGTCGACGGTGTCAAGATAAAATTGGAGCAATATGCAAATGTCGTGACAGACAAATGAGTATATATTTTTAGGCTTTATGCAGCCAGACTAAATGAAATTCCACCCCGCTTTCATGCAAATTAATTGGGGAAAACTTTTACTTTTGCTTCGACTACAGAAAGAGAGAGAGAGAGTGGAATTAGGGGTGGGAAATAGTTGATACATTTATCGATAACATCCAAAACATATTTTCTAATATTTGTTTTCTATTATTTTGATAAGGTATAATGTTTTCACATTAATGCATTAAATATTTCCTTAGACATTTTTGTTTGATTATTTTTATGAGACCAAAGAAAGGGATATTTATATAATAGGATTGAAAAACTGTCGATAAATATATCGATAATATCTAAAACATATTTCTAATAATTATTTTATAATATTTATTAGATTGTTTTAGGGTTTTTTACTTTCTTTGAGTATTTTTTCGCACATCTTTGATAACTTTTAATGAGAGCAGGACAAGACAAAGATAGTAAGGCGGAAAAACTGTGGTTAAATATATCGATAATATCCCTAATATATATTTAATCATTTTAATATCTATTTATAATTATGAAGATATAATAACTGACTAATAAATTGTATTTCCATATTCTTGCTTGTCATATTTCAGATAAATCTATGATTACTTATTGAAATAATCAGTTTTTAATAAAAATAATCCATATTTTATAGAATTAATCGATCTAGAATCGATACTGCATATATTTTATACCACTAACATTTACCGCAAACCAAATTCCTTTCAAAAAACCTTATTTTAAACAGTATTTCTTTGTATTTAAATCCCATAGACTGAGTCAAGAAAATGGTTGGTATATGATAAGGTGACCCCCCGGCAAAAGGCAAAGATCGGTCACCTTGTGACTCTGCAGTCACTCGGCCATTCAGTCAGTGGTGTCAATAAATCCAGAGATGTCTCCATCAAATCAACCTGTCACTTGTTAACACACATTTTTAAACTCAAAGAGAGCGGGAATGAGGTCCAACACCTGTCCAGGTTGACAAGCATTCGCGACCGAAATTGCAATTTTTCCATCTACCTTTCGGCTACTCTGTGTTGCTAATTAGAAGGCAATGGCATGAGGAGAAATAAAATAAAATAAAGTAAAAAATAATGCAAAAAATACGAGTACAAAAAACAGAAGCAAGAAGTGACTCAGAAAAATTTTTTTTTTTGAGAAAAGAGGTGCCCAAAGGCACACCTTTTCAACAATAAAACATTCTCCCAGCAACACCCAAAATTCTTCAACAGACAAAACAATTATGAAAAGCTACAGTTAAAGTCTTAATACCTTAAATCATATAAAAAAATATATATTTTTAGCTGTACTCGAAAGAAATTGATTAAATTTTTTATATTTTATAGTGTGTTTTATACATATTTCGGTATATTTTTGTTATTTTATATTTTTTGCGGTATATTTGTTGAACTTTCTATGATATTTTTGTTGTATTTTCTATGGTATATTTTTTGTATTTTCTATGGTATATTTGTTGTATTTTCTATGGTTTATTTTTGTATTTTCTATGGTATATGTTTTGTATTTTCTGCGGTATAATTGTTGTATTTTTTATGGTATATTTTTTCTATTTTCGATGGTATATTTGTTGTAATTTATATTTCCGTAGTTTCTACAGCAACTTTTTGTATATTTTATTAAGATATTCTCTGTGAATTTATTGTTTAAGTCTATCTCTCTTTAAATTGTTCATTTTTCCCAGTATTTATTAGTATGGCACATTTCTCTGCATATGTTTTGGTATTATAATACTAAATAAGTCTTCCCAAAATTATATTTTTAAAATCTCTATACAAAACCATTTTCAAATACAGTATTTATATAATATTTTTCTTCAGTGTTTAGACTTCTCACCTTTCTGCACTTCTGGCAATTGGCAATTGGCTGACAGAACCCCTGAAAATGCCCCCCTGCCTGGGTCTGGGCCCATCCTTTCCTGTGAGGTTATTTATTTCGTAAATTTGCGCGACAAACAACAACAGCAATTGCCAGAATATATATAATAAAATTAACAAAACAAAACAGAAAAAAAAACAAGTGAAAAGTAAAAGAGACGCAAATTGTTAATTGGCTATTTAAACATTTTTTGTGCAATTTCATTTTGTTTTGTAAATAAATTTTAATCAGCATTTTTATTGAGTCTTTTCACCGGGAGAAGAGACAAAGAAAACAGAGAGTTTGAATTTGAATTTCTTCTAGACTTTTGGTAAATATATATATATAAAGCGGAAACCACTGACAAATTTTTAACAGAATTGCAATTTTTATATGATATTTTTCACATTGCTTACAGTGTTGATTTACAAGACAATGAAAGGGATTATAAACCTAAACTTGCTGGCATTTCATTCCCTAAACTTAGTAATAATAAAATAATATTACTAATATTCTTTGTGACTTATGAATAAGCACAAGTATTTGCAATATATACAACCATTTATATATACTGTATAAAATATAATATGTAAATTTAGCTGTTTTGTGCTCGTCTTTTTTTTGGGATTGGGATTTTTATGGATTTTTCGTGCACGCCAAAATATTTCTTTGTTCGCATCACAAAAATTGCATGAAATTTTATATATATCTATATATATACATATATACGCTCTAAACGCGTGTGATTGTGTGTTTTGAATGCATTACAAAATGCAATAAATATGGCTAACAAATGTCCATCAAAAGTAACAGAGTTACGTATTTGTATATATAACAAACTGAGCGAATTTTTGAAACATTTTAAACGTTCGCAGAGATATACGATTTGTGCTTTCATATTCATTTTCTAATATTAATGTTCTATTTAATGGTAAACACAGTAATGTAAGATAGAGGTAACTTTAATATTGATAAACGTTATGTGGCACTGTTTGCCAGACTTGAGACACAGGTGAGCCTGCGGCAGATTGCCAATTGCCTCACCTGGCGAATCGGTGTCACCCCAGAAAAGCATTAAAGAAGCAAAGCAATAGTGCAACTAAGCCAACTAAATGGAAAATTTAACAATAGAGTGTTAAACAAAAACACAACAAGATAATAATAAGGTTTAAAAAATGGGGCAATAGTCACTATGATTACAAATATAAATATCATTAAAATATATTTATTTAACATTACTTTCTATTAAGAAATCTAAATCTATAATTTCCTACATAACTTAGATAATTTCCTTCGCTGCATATTATTTTTTCAAATATATATCCTATAAATAATTCCTTTTCACCAATGAGTCATCACTGATCATCACTAAAGTGCGTTTGCAGCCCATTCATAAATGTTGCAAATGGCCAACGCACCAGGCAACTTGTTGCAGAGCTTTGATCATGTTGCAATAATGTTGCACGTCTGTCTTTTGTAGCGGTATCACGAAAGAAATTTCTAATACAGAAAGAGAGGAAGAGAGAGAGCGGCTCATAATTCAAACGATAAACGGTAAATCTAATTGTGTGCGAGTGTGTGTATGTGTGTGCTAGACAAAGACAAACTGGCTAAAAGTGGAGCACAAAGCAAGAGGGAGAGAAAAAAAAGAGCACTACATAAAAAGGCCTAGAAAATATAGAGCATGTGCTATGTAATAAATAAAACTTTATACTAAATGCTACATAATAAATCTGCACATAAATACAACCAAATAATACTACATTAAAATATTACCTAATAATACCATATAAAAATTTTGTTAATAAAAAAGAATACTTACAATTTCCCTAATAGAAGTTTGTTCCCACTCCAGGAATTTCCCTTGACATTGGTCTCTTATCCATAGAGAAATAAATGACTAACAGTTCCTTAAGGGAATTTCATTTCTTCCCAATATTTACCAATTTATTAAATAATATTAAATTTAATACCATTACAATCCCTGCAACATTGTAAACTCTGTTGCTAGGTCCATGGATACACCAACACTTCACCAACAATTCACCACAACTCACCCACAGGGCCAACCCTGGCGCAGCTGCGCATACAAATGCAAACTTGACCTTTAGATGGCGCTGGCGTATAAATTAAAATCTGGCAAAACTTTCTCATAAAAAAACACGCACACCCAAAAAGCATAAAAAAAGAAAACCTTCAAAAAGAAAAAGAAAAAAAGACAGACAAAGACAAGGACCGAAGACAGGAGGTGGAAGAGAGCCAAAAATCACGGCAAATTTGGAGAAAGATTGACAATCAATCGATCGATCGTTGAAAGCCCGAAAAAAAATGCAACTCGAAAAAGGTTTCGTTGCGGCATTAAATTAAAGTCGAAAAACGAAACAAATTAAAGCTTTAAAAAACAGAGACACTATGCGTTTTATGTTACACCCCCCCCCCTTAAGCTAAATCGAAAAAGGCAAAAGATCGCTGATCGGTGATCGGTGATCGGTGATCGGTGATCGAACATTGAAAAATATCAAAGTAGGCTAAAAACCAGTTAGCCAAAAATTAATGTGTGTGTGTGTTTGTAATAAAAGCAAATATGTAAATAAATTAAAATTAATTAATGTCAAACAACTTTGGCAACGATAAATGACAAGACAGCCAGACACAAATGCCAAAAAAAATAATCACCAGAACCCGAAACCGAATTCGTATTCAAAATTAGTCACTGTCTCGAAATTGCGTTAAATTCTTTTGCTGTGAGTTTAGTCTTTTGGATATATCTTATATTTAATTAGTATTTAGGCGAAATTGAGAAGGGTTTTTGATTTGAAAATATATTCAAAGACAAAGTTAAATAGTTCTCAGGTTATTTTTAAATAGTTTTTAGCATCAGTTTCCTTAAATTTAAAAAGTTCTGGAAGTTGTATTTTCGTTTCTGTATTTTTAATCTATATAAAAATCCTCTTTACTTATTTTAATTAGTTTAAATTTAATTTATTGACTTTAAAACTTACCAATAGACCCGTTTCCACGTTCGGTATTAAAATGATCTTGGATCCATCCATTAAATTGTGATCTCTGAGCGTGCCATCCTGTAGTTCCCTGTGAAAACACACACAAAAAGAAACAGATACGTTAGAAAAACAATCAATAAACAGTTGTGAGCCACAATAAAAACAGCTGATTAACGCCGTCAAGTGGCCAAAATAGCTCTAAACAGTTAATAATAGTAAACAATTGAAAAGTAGCCGTAAGAAGAGAATCAACGAAATTGACTCAAAGGGTTAGCAAAGTTTATTTTTAAAATTGACTGTATTTTAGCTAATTTCGATTCTTTCCGATACTTAACACAGACACTTAGATATGGGATTATATTGGCATATTAATGGATAATATAATTCATTTGACATTAGCTTTGTGTGCTCTTTCTCCCTCTTTCTCTTTCTTTTATCAACGTTTTGTAAGCAGTAAGAAAAAAGGTATCGAAAAAAAGAGACGGGCGTTGATTTTCTGCTGTCATCACTTTTGCATGCGTAATCAAATCATTCCCTTTTTTTTTGGCAACATTTGAAACATTATAAAGTCTCAACAAAAGCGGCAAGAACAATAATAAAGACATACAGACACACACAGCAGATGTGACAAATAAAAATCAATGCGTTTTTTGCCACTTTAACAAAAGCCAATTTCAATAATTCAAGTACATATATCGCCCCCTCGAAAATATAAGTACAAAAACCAGGCCATGATACAAAAAAAACTTGTATAAGGTTTAGAGAGCGATTATTATCATTATATTTAAACTGGTTGGAAGGAAAAAAAAAGAAAAGAAAAAATTGGAAGGTTACAAATATTTTAATATTCTTAAAATCCTTTTTTATGTATACCATTTACTATTCATCTGAAGTCTTAAACAAAGTTTAGAAGTTGTAGTGTTACCAGCTCTGCAAATGCAGCAAACTAATGTGGCCATATTTCTTTAAATAAGATTATCAATACCCAACAGTAGAATAAACTTCAGAACTTCTTCTCAATAAAGCTCACAATTAATGCATTTAAACCGGATAATTTGTTAAATTACACTCTGACTTCTGATTCGCAATGGCAGCAAATTAAAATATAAATATATATATAACGACACACAAGTAAAAACAAAAAAGTTCAAGCACTTTACAGGTTTGCCTCCCTTCTGCTGCTTTTTGGGGCCAGTTGATTTCCATTCCATTTTAATTCTGTTGTTTTAACTGAACTTTTTTGTAAATTTTTTGCTTTTATTTCCATTTTCTGCTGTACTTTTTCTCCGTAATTGCGGCTTTTTCGTTGTTGTGTCGGTCGAAGTGAAACAAAGTCAAAAGTTAAACGCTGTTGACACTTTTCAGCCGCTGAATTTCAATGGGATTTTTATTTTAAATATATATATATGAACTTTTTTTTGGGCATTGCAATTCGCAGGTGTTAAGCAGCGGTAGCATTTACAACGGTAACAACGGCAGACGGGCGAGCAAACAAACAAACAGCTGCGCTTATTATTTGTTTAATTTCGTTTACTTGGTTAATACAAATAATAATTTGAGCGAAAAAAAAAAGAAGAACCCTAGAATGGAGTTCGAGAAACCGCAGCCAGAATTCTTTTTCATTATTTGTTTTTTTTTTCATATGCAATACACTTGGGATTATCAAAAAGAAATATAACATCTGTAATAAAAGGAAAAGTCTGGGAAGAAAGCCAAGCCTTTTATAAACAATTGTCTCCTTTTCTTCGGTTTCGAAATGCTGGCTTATATTCTGTAAAATTAAGTTACTTGGGATTTTAAGAGATCACACCTTTGATATATAGTCATAAAATAATGTTAAAGGTGTTCTAACCTTTAACAAGAATTTTCCCATAAAAGAGATTTCAAATTTCTATTATATTTATAACAGTTTTCATTTTGATTTTAGGTTATACAAAAGTACAGTTGTTACAAACGCTTAAGCTGTTATATATATATATCACTATACATAGATATAATGCCACGTATATATACATATATTCAGGTATAATCAATGTCGAGTTTATATATAGACTGCAATGCATTTGTTTTGGCTAGCAACGCTCTAGGCATAGAGCTTAGGGCCACAACAAAAAACAAATGAATTTTTGATACAAAGCATAAATTAAAGGTGGAAAAAGGAGTGTATGTGTGTGTGCGGTGGGGGAAGTACCTTGCCGACAGGTGGACCACACAAAAAGATGGAAGAAGCTGAGGCTTATGGAGGAAGGGGGAAGAAACGAAGAAGTTAGTCGCTGAAGTCTCCACTTGAAAATTACTTAACTTTTATGCTTTGCCGGTGAGATAAAGATAGCAAGAGACAGAAAAGAGGAAAGAGAGAAAAAGAAAGAGAGAGAGAGAGGAGAGGAGAGAGTTGGCCAAAACACACACAAAAGAAAAGCCAGGCAAAGAAGAAAAAGACAAACTTCGCCTCGATTTTCGATTGCATCAGTTTAGTGTCACAGTTGAGGTCAAAAGCATAGTAACCTCAACAAATAAATCAATTATGTATCAAAGAACAGCAATAATAAAATAAAGTATTAATAATTAAGAATGTTTTTTTTTTAATTTGTTTTTAAACCTTGCCTAAAATTAGATATCTATCGCCTCTGCAAATTAAGTTATATTAAAGTGCTTTTTATTTCTACTTGTATTTCTTACGGCTTGTGCTCCTCAGTTATTGTGTTTATTAGTGAATGAAAATAATTAAAAGGAGTTTGTTTACTATTTACAATTATCCCAACCGTTCATAAAGTTGCTTTTTCAAGTTATGTATATAAAAAGAGATGTATGTATATAAATGCAGTATTATTTGTTTATTATTTTTGAATATTTGTATGCATAAAATTTTAGTTTATATAATTTTCATATATTTAGTTTTTATTCCTTTATGAATTTTGTATTATTCCTATTTCCTTAACCCCAACTGCAGCATGTTGCGGCGAAAGAGAGTAAAAAATGAGAGCAATGACGGCTATTTGCGGCGAATTTGATGGCGATGCGGTAGCCCCAGCAACAGCAACAAAAGCAACATCACAGCGGTAACAAGGCAACCGAAGCAGCAACAGCAAAAGCAAAAGCAGAAACGAAAAAGCAAAAAGCAACAGCAACAACAATAACAGCGAAATGTTGGAGCATTTAATGACTGCATGCATGATTGATGAATTGATAAGATTTGGTTAGTGGAATCGGGTTGCGTTGCCGAGTTAAGTTGAGTTTTTTTGGCTGGCACGGAAAGCGTATTTGGGTCAGCGAAAGGGGCGTGGCAAGACAACGTTGCACGCAACGCAACGCTCCACGCTCAACTTTCAACACTCACGCATACGCTCGCCTGGATACCAAAATATAAGTAATTCAAAAAAAACAACACTATAACCCAAAAAAAGAAGTAATAAACTTGTATTTATGGTTTGGATTTAAGGGGTAACTTAAATGTATTTCTGATGGGAAATCAATATAAAAGTAATAAGATTGATTAATTGTATAAATAATGTTGAAAAGTTTAAAAATCCGGTGCTACCTAATCATGTTTATGCCTAAATTTTTTAAGTTCAACGAACAAGACTAAATTGTCGCCTGGTTGTTGTTTAAGAAGATGCTTTTACTAACTCCAACATAAAATGTTAGCTGGTATAAAATAATTGGTTTACTTTAAATATTAAGTAAATATTATATATTAGTTATGTTAGGTTATACAAAATATCAATTAAAGTTGATCAAAATACGGATGATTTATGATAAATATTTAAAAACGTAAAAATATACAAATAATCCCAAACAATTAAATATTTCAATGATGAATAACTTCCATGAAGAACTCCCCCTTTAACAATTAAGCACGCAATGGCAATTTGGATTTCATAATTTCGATATTATTTAACTTCGTTGTGGTGTTGTTGGTATTGGTGTGGTGTTGTTGGTGTTGTTGTTGGTGTTGGTGGTGTTGGTGGTGTTGGTGGCACCCCCCCTAATAAACGTAACGTCACGTAATTCAGCGCCTTAGCGTACGTAAGGTTTCTTTGTGCTCGCTCTGCCAGCAGCAACATGTTGCAGTTGTCAACGCATCAGCAGCAGCAGCAGCAGCAACAACAACAGCAACATAAGCAGCTGCTACTGCAGGTTGCAGGTGCCAAAACGAAAGAAACTCACCACAGAGGCAAAAGTCAGGAGAAGAGCGAAAGAGAGAGAGAGGAGGGTGAGATAGAGAGAAAATATAAGCTAGAGAGAGAGAGCAAAAGAGAGCGAGAGCTCATTAAAGCGGCATTTTATTCGATTTTCCTCATTTCTTAGATTTTGCCTTTTGCTTTAAATTTGTTTGAATTTCCTGGGATTTTCAATTTGATTTTCCCACAAAACATAATCCATAATACAGCCTGAAAAACGTTTTAAAGCTTTTCATTTATTTAATTTCCCGTATTTTTTTTTGTCTTTAAGGGGGTGTGTGTGTGTATGTGTATGTGTTGAGGTGTGGTTTGTGTGTGTGTTTGTGTTTTTGCTTGGGCTTTTCTCTGTCCTTCCTTTTTGTTGTTGTCTGCGGGGGTGTCGCGTCTGCGTCTGCCTCTGCCGTCGACGTCGCTGCCTTTACGCAATAGGCGCTGCTACCGATGACGCCGACGTCGACAGCGACGCAATGTGACGCGACGCGACGGAGCTACAACAACAACAACAACGAAGGCCAAACGAGAGCCGCCGCCTCGTTGGGTGGAAAACGGGGTGGGGGGCGACGGGGTGTAGGCTTGGCCCAGACAGACAGACAGGGCCAAGGGGGGGCGGTGGGTTCGGCGAAAGGTGAGACAGAAAAAGGAGGAAGGAGAAAAGGTGGAAGGAGAAAAGATGGAAGGAGAAAAGGTGGAAGGAGAAAAGGTGGAAGGAGATCAGTAAAGCCGTAAGAGAAAGAGAGACTAGAAATTTTAAAATTGTCCAAAGGCTAACTGTAAACCATAAAGTGTTAAAATGTCCAGGAAAAAATTTAAAAAAAATTAAAATTTTATTATTTAAAAGAAAATCATTTAACATTTCAAGATTTCTGTAAAGAATATATTACTTATAGGAGCTTCAAATAAAAATATG